CTTTACCGACCGAGTGTTCTCCCTTTGCGCTCAGCTCCAGAGGAAGAGGCACATCGGCAATGACATTGTGGCAATTATCTTCCAAGAGGAGAACACGCCGTTTGTCCCAGACATGATTGCCTCCAACTTCTTGCACGCCTACATTGTCGTGCAGGTGGAAAACCCCGAGGCAGACAACACGGCGTACAAGGTGAGGGTGATCGCAACTCGCACGTGCCGATGCCTCCGTGGTCGGAGGCGGCTGCCCAGCGGCTGCCCTGCCTGTGCGCTCAGCGATGCGACCGGTTATGCCTAATGGAAGAGGTGTGTGGATGTTAAACATACATATGTATATATACACACACACACACATATTTATGTATGCACTATTACATAGCGTGTGTGTATACATACAAATGTGTCTAAAATATATGCATGTATAACAGCAAGCCCATTTACTAAAGATTTTTGACGCTACTCAGTATTTGAATAAGCCCCAGAACAGCTCATAGCCGTCTAACACATCGCTCAAGTGTAGGTAGCACAAACCCCATTCTCCCTCGGTTTTCTCTGAAGGGATCCAGTAAGACGTCATTTTGCAAACGAAAAGCACATTGCGTACAGCCCCAAATGAAAACACTGCGCAGGAAATAAGCGTAAAAAGCTGTGCGGGGTTAACCCTGTGGTGAGAGCAGGGGCGACGACTGATGCGCCTCGGAGGGACATCTCTGCGCTGGGGGCTGCCCCACTGCACCCATGGGATGACGTTTCCCTTCACTCCGCAGGTGTCCGTGACGGCACGGGAAGATGTCCCCTCCTTCGGGCCGCCCCTGCCGAGCCCACCGGTGTTCCAGAAGGTGAGAGCTGGGATGGGAAGCATGTTCCAACCCATAAAAAAAAAGTAGATGTGTATGTCCGAGATGTTTCCAAGCACGCCCGCTTAGGGGAAGTGCAACTTCTGGACTTCATACGCATTAATTTTGATTTGTAGTGGAGCCCGTGGGGTCTGTGGTGGGGCGGGGGGCCGTGCGCTGTTGCACAGTGTGACCCGTGCAAGGCGGCAGCGGCCGGGGCACCCGTGTCAGTGCGGGGGTGATGGCGGTGCAGGAGGGCACCCCGGCCCCTCTGGGGATTCCCACCAATGCTGCCTCATCTGGAGGGGCTGTGGGGTGCTGTGAGCTCTGGTTTTGGGCGGGTTCAACTCTGGTACCAGAGATACACAGGTTTTGGCTGGTGTTTTCCACCGTGCCTCTCTCCCCGCAGGGCCCCGAGTTCCGGGAGTTCCTGCTCACCAAGCTCATCAACGCCGAGAACGCCTGCTGCAAGTCCGACAAGTTTGCAAAGCTGGAGGTAACGCTGCCCGGCGCCGCGGCAGGCGCGGGGGGCTCTGCGCATTCCTCCTTGGAGCCGCCTTTCCCGGCTGAGCTGGGTCAGCACTCACAGGGATGAGCGATCAGAGCGCGCACGTGTCGCAGCGCACTTGGTGGCCACGGGGTCCCCTGAGGCTGCCGTGCTCTAAGCGGGGGGACGGGACGGCTGTCCCATGGGTTGGCACCGCTGCCCCCTCCCTCGGGGTCCCCGGCTGAGCCCGCTCTCGCTCCCGCAGGACCGGACGCGCGCCGCCTTGTTGGACAACCTTCACGATGAGCTCCACGGGCACACGCAGACCATGCTGGGGCTGGGGCCTGAGGAGGACAAGCTGGAGAACGGGGGTCACGGAGGCTTTCTGGAGTCTTTCAAGGTAAACCTCCGTCCCTTGCCAACAGCACAGTTAAAACGCACCCAGGGCTGGCAAAGCACGTTTCAGTGGAAGATGTGGTTGAGCGGTATTGAGGGACAAGAGGTGTCCCCTGACAGCAGAGTGGTGGGAGGAGGTAGGAGCTCACCGCCGCCAGCACCCGGTCAGATAGCGGACTCCCAGGCTGGTCCCAGTGGGAGCAGGCACAGGCTGATGTTTTGTGGTGTTGGCAAGTGCCACCATCGGGGTGACCTCTCCAGAGCCCCGGAGCACGTCCTCTCCCGCCAGCGTGCTCTGGCGTCCGCCGTGTCTCCAGCAGGGTCTCGGTGCGGGGCCAGCACCCCGTACGGGCTGTGCTGCAGTTGGGCTCCGCTGCTGCAGGACAAGTCCTGCCGGTGTCCCCGGGCAGCTGGCTGTCCCCACTGTGCCACCCTGGCTGCAGGAGGGGGCTGGGGGGGCAGGACACCTGGGGCGGCTGCTGTGGCAAGGGGACAGGAGTTGGTGGTTGTGTTAAACAGGAGACAAGAAGAGGTGGGTGAAACTGAGCCGCTGTTGGAGGTGGGGACAGGACCAGCTGGGCAGCGGGGATGTCCCTCAAAATGGAGGGGCAGCGCTCGAGTCTCAGGGGATGAGCTGTTGCCAGAAGGCTGTGGTGGCGCTCTGCTGGGACAGCGATGGGGACGTGGGTGGGAAGGGCTGGCACGTGTAAATCGGGGCTGCACCCATGGGTGGGTGTTCAACGGGATCCCCGAGCCTGGGCACCACGTCCCTGCCCTGGGTGATGCCTGTGGCCCGTGCAGCTCACCCGCACCTCTCCCCATCCTGCTCCCAACGCGTCGGCTCTGCCGGGCAGAGGCAGCACTAGCCGCATCGGCAGCGGGGACGGGTGCTGGGGTGGGGGGGCCATCGCCGTCCCGGACCACAGGAGCTGCCCTGGCTGCGGCGGTACGGAGGCAGCTCCTGCCGTTACCTTATGGGCACAGTTTTCTTTGTGATAGAGAGACACGGACACTGGTGGATGAGTCACCTCATCCCGCACCTGATGCTGCGGAGGAGGGGTGAGCAGCTCCCCGGCCCCCACTGTGGGGGTGGATGGAGGCTCAGGTGTGTCCTGTTTAGGTATGAGACATGCAGAAAGCGAGATGCAGTCATACATCACAGCGTTCACTTCAGGGGCTGAGGCCATGATGTTAAATAATCTTTTTTTTTGGCATGCTTTTTGTGTACGAGAAAGTGGACTTTGCCCTCTTGGCGTTGCAGGGAGCACCGGGGCAGGCGGTGAGTTCCCTGCTCCGTGCCGGGCTGCGTTTGCCCGTTGGCCTGGGGACCGCGCTGCTGGGCTGCATCCTGGCGTACGTCCTGCACCGCGCGCTGTCAGAGTGACGGGGAGAGGAGAGACGGTCGATAAGAGGGCTGGGAGGGGGCGAGACATGGTCTCCACTGTTTCTTTTCTGCCCCGTGCCTCACATCCACGACCCAGCCCGCAGCCCCGTCCTCTCCGGCCGTGAGATGCGGGGACCGGCCGCTCAGAGGACAGCGGAGCTCGTTTCTGCTGGGCTCGGGGTGCCTTCGCCTCCCCGCCGTGGGGAGAGGAGCCACGGGCCAGCCGCCCCAGGAGGGGGTGTCAGAGTGCCCTGCAGAGCCCCGTGGCCTCGCCAGCCCCGGGCAGGAACCTTGCTGCCCACACGGTGTGAGTGTCCGCCGGAGCTGCTGGCAGCCGGGCAAGCAGCTGGTTACTTTTATCTGCAAACGCTGACAAATTTTGTATGAATTGCTGACCCTAATAAATCAGGTCTGATGGACTCTTGCCTGGTGTTTGTTACTGGATGGGCAGGAGGGGACAGAGGGGCTGTCGGGGTGGCCGCGGTCCCTGGCACCGGCTGGGGCTCGGTGAGACCTCGGGGATGCAGCTCCCACTTGCCCCGGTGCGGGTCCGCCCGCAGCGCGGTAACCCCCAGAGCCATCAGCAAACTGGTGCCCCTGCACCGTGGGAACGGTGCTGGGCACCTCCAGAAACCTGCCCTGGGTGGGTGGGTTCCTCCGAAACCTCTCTACCTCCTGCCGGGGGTATTGAGGGGGCTGGAGGAGAGGCAGCCGTGGCGCGGCGGGTAGCGCGGCAGCAGTTCAGAGGGAATAGCTGCGAAGAGAAACTTTTCTGTAATTGGCACGCTGGCATCGCGGTCCAGTTTGGGCTCCCGTTACTATGGTGACTACGGTAATTAAAATATGGGTATAGATATATTTTTTTTTAACTTGTGCATTTCACTGCTGCTTTTCATAGCGTGTGCCAGACTTTCAAAAGATCTCGTGGTCGTATTTGTAAGTGCTTGGGACAATAACTGAGAGAAGACTTTAAAAATAGCTCAGGTCCTGTTTAAGCACCCAGAGGAGTGTTGGGATCTGCAGGAGGTCTCTGCCCCCGGTGCGCACCGCTCTGCTCGCAGCAGTCGGAGTCAAACAGGTCACAGCAGTCCTCTTCCCAGGCTTGTGCTGCCGGCGTTCGCAGAGCCCGGCCCTTGGTCCTTTCCCAGGGGACAGGGAGAGCTCCGCGGGGACTGGGAGCCCCGTCGTGTCTGGACCTGGCACGGCACATCTCTGGGCTCTGCCATGGAGAAGGGTTGGACCCGGCGCCTCTGCTCCGTACCCGGGCAAGGCATGTCTGGCTGTGGGCATCCCTCGGCGTGCGAAGCTCTGGCGGCGCTGCGGCTCTCCGGGGCAGCCAGAGGGAACGAGGGCACGAGGCCTCGCGCTGCGCATCTCGCTCCCGTACAAACCAGCCTGTGCCAAAACGGACACGGATGTCTCAGAGCAGCCGGGAACGGGCTGTGGTTTGCTGAGTGAGTGCGGTGCCTGAGGCCGTGCGGGAAATGCAGCCCTCAGCCGGCGCTGGGAGGCCACGGGCGCTTTGGCCGAGGTTTTGGGTCGCAAGGAGGGGTTTGGCGCAGCAGTGGTTGTGGTCGTTGGTCGCTGCGTCCAGCAGCAGGGATGCAGCAGGAGAAGCCATGCCGGGCTGCAGCGCCGGTACCGAGCACGGTGTGCCTGAGCACGGGTGTGCGTTTGGCTGGAAGGTGTACCCTGACGCGGTGACACGGCTCAGGCGAGGATGATCCAGAGGAAAGCGTGTCCGTAACTCGAGGCGTTGTGGCTGATGAAGGTGAAGGAAGGGGCTGCTTGGCCGGGAGAAATGAAGACAGACAGGAGCAGGGACAGTCCGTGGCTGCCGCGGGGACGATGCTGCGCAGCTCGTCTCCGGGTCTTTTACAGAGATGGATGGGCCAAACCAGCAGCAGCAGAGGTTCAGGCTAAATGTATTTTCAGGCATAAGCATGCTGAGGAACAGAAGTACTTTTGTGCAGAGGCTGTGAAGCCTCCAGCTCTGGGGATGTTTCGGGGCAGGTTGGGGAGGTCCGTCGGCACGCAGGAGAGGCGCAGGCAGGGCAGGAGGCGTCGCGCAGGACCCGTCTTCTCCGCATCCAGGGAGAATCACGGCGGGGTGTGCATCCAAACACTGGCTGACGGCTCGGCTGTGCCCCTCGTCCCTGCTGAGGGGCTCTGGGGGGTCGGGCAGGAGGCCGGGCTCTGGGGCTCGTGTCTGCCGCTCCCGGTCCCATAGCTGCGGTTCTCAGCACTTGCACCCGGCGTCGTGGGGGGAAACCCGACCTTGTCGTGGCTGTGGGGCTGCCCAAGGGACGGCTCGTCCTCGGGCTGCGCGGAGCCACGGCTGCTCATGGTACTCGTGGGGTTGTTGTTGGTGTGCGCCGACTCTCGGGGGGAGCACTGGGCAGGTCACGCTCCGGTGTGCCCGGCGTGGGGTGTGGGGGGGGTGCTCCTGGGGCTGGGGAGGGGATTTGGGGTCGGTGCCCCACAGGGGGGTGATGACATGCTGTCCCCTGTCCACTCTGGGCACAGAGAGCCATCCGGGTGCGCAGCCACTCCATGGAGACGATGGTGGGCAGCCAGAAGAAGCACCACGGCAGCGGCATCCCGGGCAGCCTCAGCGGGGGCATCGCGCACAACAGCAGCGAGGTGACCAAGACCACCTTCTCGGTGAGTGCGGCCACACATCCCTCCGTCCCGCTGTCCCTCTGTCCATCCCTCCCTCCCTCCCTCCCCAGCCAGGCAGGGCGCTGCACTGCGCTGACGGAGCCTGGCGGTCCCCTGTGTGGGCGGCGAAAGTAAAGGTGAGAAGGTGTGAGCAGAGCATGAGTTTATGAGTACTGTGTTCAAGTTGGGTTTGTTTTGTGGGAGAACCAAAGATTAGCTTCCTGGGGTTTTCAGCCCCAAAGTACAAAGGAGATAGATATAAAAGAAATTCTGGCATTACATATTTTCTCAATGCACAGGCTGAGAATGGCGGGCAGCATAATTCCTCGTAGGATGTTGAGCTTTAGGAGCTTGTAGGAGGGAGCTGTGCTCTCCAACCTGGGCCGTTCTGTGCTTTCAGCCCCCCGTACCAGCAGCTGCCGCCAAGAACCAGTCCAGGAGCCCCATCAAGCGCCGTTCGGGGCTATTCCCTCGCCTGCACACGGGCTCCGAGAGCCAGGCGGAGAGCAGGACAAGGTGGTAAGTTGGGCATCACCCTGGTGACTGAGGTTAAAAACCCCTGTTGCGTGTTAAACATTAGAGAAGCTGTTGGGGGTGCTGAGACCTTGCCCGGGCACAGCCAGCCACAAGCACTGCTTTTACCGTGTTCGAGGGAGTGGTGCCCTGGATCCCTTCCCTCTGTTTTAAATCGGAGCGGTGATATGCGGAGAGCATCTGTTACTCTTACAGTTTAGCATTTGGTGTTAGGGAGTATAATTTGACCATCCTTTTTAAGTCTCTTGTATAACTTGTACAACCTGTCTCTTTGTGCCCACAGCGACAGTGTTTCTGGAGCCCAGAAGACACCAGATTTGGGACATTCTTCTCAAGAGATGAAATCTGAAACTTCGTCCAACCCCAGTTCCCCTGAAATATGCCCCAACAAAGACAGGTGAGCTGGGAGAGCACCGTCCTCCGACCGGAACTCATGTCACCCTGTAGCTGACAGACCATCAGGAACTTTGTCAAACAAAACCATCTCCAGGTTTTGCTAAAAATAAGTTTGATATTAAGGGAGGAAAAAAAAGATTCTGGTGATTCATGAGCACAGCTCCTTTATGGTCTGAAAATAGCCATCTTTAAAAAGAAGAAGAAGAGCAAAGAGCAGTATTTGACAGAAGTTGCCCAAACCCTCACGGCAGAGGAGCCGGGGAGGCCGGGGGTGCCCGTCCCTCCCTGCCACTGGGCAGTCAGCCCAGTCCACCAGTTTCTGCTGGTGGCACCCACCAGCTGCTTCATCCCACGCTCTTGGAAATGGTTATAGAAACACCCCGCTAGGTTTGTCCCTATGCCGGCTCCTTTGCTCTGGAGGTACGCGAGAGGGTCTGTTCCCACTGTCATAGCCGGAGTGACATCCACGTGCCCTTCGTTTTGTTTCGCCTCTCTTCCCAGGCCGTTTATCAAGCTGAAAGAGAACGGGAGGTCAAACATCTCCCGTTCCTCCTCGAGCACCAGCAGCTTCAGCAGCACGGCGGGGGAGAGCGAGACCCTGGAGGAGTACGAGAGCGTGGTAGGCACCCAACCGCCCCGTGGTGCGCTTGGCGCCGCAGCTCTGGGCTGCCTCCGGCCCCTCGGGTGGGCTCTGTGCAGGGGAAGGGTCCTGCGGCCCCCCCGGTGCCTCCTCCCTGCTGGCAGCGAGGGGCTTAACCCCATCCCCGGGTGTGGGGAGGAGGAGCATTGGGGTGCCCGGTGGGACACTGCAGTGAGCCGTGGCGTGCACAGGGACAGCGCTCGGCACACCGGGGCCAGGAGGTTACTCTGTCAGGACGAGCCCTCCATCGAGCGGGTGGGTGGCGGGGCTGTGATGAGCGGGGACGTGACGAGGCCTCGGCAGGGCCTGGGGGGGAGGAAAGTTGGCTGCACCGGGGAAAGCCACGTCTTTTTTTCGCCGCCCGCCCGGGCCGCGCAGGCCAGGGGGCGGGGGCCCGCCGCCACCCCCGTGATCATGAGCAGGAGCCCCACAGGTGGGTCGCGGGAGGGCCGGGGGGGGGCACCAGCTCTGCCTCGGCTCCTGGAGACCCTGGGAGCCCCCGGGGTCCCACAGCGGTGGGTCAGGACGGGGTCTGTGGCCCTGGGATGGAGAAGCCCCCTCCCTGGCCTTGCCCGGGCTGCCGAAGGCCATGGGGCGAAGCAGTGGCCACACTCGCCCTGGGCAGGACGGGCATCCCACGGGATGCGGGGCAAACCCTTGCTCCTCCTGAAACCCTCATCCCAACGGGGCTGTTCCAGAGAGACACTGCTTTATTGCTGTATTTCCAGGGGGAATTTGTTTCCCTTCTGAATTAGAGCGCAGAGGTGGCTTTTGCTGTGGCTTTGTTTCCTCCCTTCTCCCCTGACAGCCATGTGCAGTAGTCGTGGAAACTCGCTGTCTCCAAGGACCCAGCCATGACTCACAAATTATTTAATAAACAAGCAGCTTCCCTTGCTCTTGGCTCCATTACCCCTGCTGCTAACTCACTCTGCCACCGACTCCAGCCATTTCAGGCGGACGACTTGCAAAATGAGCTGCAATTCAAGAGGGGTAAAATTGGCAGAAATGGGCCCTTCGCTGGCACGTCCTGCGGCGATGGCACCGGTGACGCGGCGGTGGTGCTGGGGCTGGGGGTGTCTGCAGCGCTCGCCCCTCGCCCGCAGATCCCCGCGGCTTTCGTTGCCTCCTGCGGCAGAGCGCCTGCCAGAAAGCACCGCGCTCCGAACGAAAAGGCACATTATGAAGTGAGGGGCTGTTTGCGGAACAGCCGGGGGGGCACACATCCATCCGCCCCCCCCAGCCCCGCAACCGGGAGCAGGGCAGGGGAAGGCTGGGCTGCCGAGTGCGGGCTGGCTGGCTTTTTGTGTCTCAGCGCCCCACACCTCCTCCTCCTGATTTCATTAGCGATTTTCTGAACTATTAAACCAGCCCCTTGTAACGTTTAAAGTGTTTATTTTGTATTTTTCCTGCCAAGAACATGGAAATCCACCCATACATTATACGGATCAGTCATTTCTTGTAGCCTTTTCAGTGGCATTTCCAGTAGAAAGACTGTGAAATGTAATTAAGCCTCAATTTGTTCCATCAAAAACATTTAATGTACAGATTTTGCCAAACATTCAGCCAAGATAGACTAAATATTGGTAGCACTGGTGACAGGCTATTGAAGCGCCTGGCTGTCAGGCGTGGGGAGCGGCAGGCAGCCCTACAGCTTCAGCAAATATTTTTGTTCGTAGATTACTGTTTTTCTTCTTTGCTTTTCCCCTCCCACCAGCAGATATAAAGAGCAGAAACTCTCCGAGGTCAAACCTGAAGTTTCGCTTCGACAAGCTCAGCCACGGCAGCTCCAGCACGGTATGTGTCTGCGGCTCTCGCCAGCGAGATGCTGCGCGGCCGCATCCTGCGCTGCACGGCTGCAGGCACGGGGGTCCGGGGTTTGCGGGGGCTGCAGCACAGGAGGCAGAGCCTGCGAGGGGCAGGGGTGTCACAACTTCTTGCCCCTTTATTTGCAACCCAACCCATATTCTGTTTTTCATGTAGAGCCACTAGCAGGAAGAAGAAGTCATGGACATGTAAAAGGTGAGTGTTTGTAATACGGTGTTGGGCAAAATGACCCGTCTCTGGTGCTCTGAACCAGCGTGTATCCTTCAAAGATAGCTAACATTGGCTAATCGCACTGTTTATTATTAAATACGTGATCAGCAATATATCTTAAAGCATCCTAAATGCTTTTGTAGGATGAGGGCAGCACTAGGGGTGGAGAAGCTGAGCAGGGGTCCTTAATGCCTTCCAAAACCCAGACGGAAGCAGTCACCTTACGAGGTGGGCAGAGGTGAAGGGGGAGCAGCGTGATTAGCCCGGGCTCTCAGGTTGGGGGGACTCTCCATCCGGCGGCACGGCTTTTGCCCAAGCGCAGGGCCACCAGCACGAGCGGGTGCTCTCACGCAGGAGGCGTTTGCAGCCCACGAGGAATTTATTTACGAGTTTTCTCAGAGGCTCCAATTCCTGGAGCCTTTCTTTGTCATGAAATCGGGGTTTTCATTAGGAAGTTCCTACCTGAGCAGAAGAGCCCATAAAACTTGAAATGAGAGGAATTTCCATTTCTGAAAGCACAGGTCTCAAAAAGCCATGATTTGCGGCCCCTCGCTGAGTTTCCTCCTCCCCCGGCGTGGGGGCGGTGGGCGGCTTGGTGTCCGGAGGACGGGCGCTGCCGCGGCTTCGGCTCTCTCCCTGGGACCGGCGCTTCGTGGCCGTCGCTGCAGGAGTGAGAACATTCTCCTTCCACAGACTCTGACGCTTTGGTCCTTTTCTTCTTTGCAGAGAATTTTTGTTTCAACAAAGGGAAAACTCTTCAACATCCTGTGGGAAAACGCAGGCCCCGGCCGTGGGCAGCGGGGTGCCCTCACCTCCCGGCTGCCCCTCTGCACCGGGAAGAAGCTTTCCCCTTGCCGCGATCTCTGCCCCGGCAGGGACCCAGCCGCCTTCCCACGGGTGAACCCCTCGCCAGCAAACACCCCTGCGCCCCGCGCCCCCCGCTGTGCCGCGGGAGGGGATGTGGCTCTGACCGCCTGGCACACGTGTGTCCCCTCCGCGGTGCCATGTCCCCTCCGCGGTGCCGTGCCGTGTCGCCCCGTGGGTGCCCGTGCGTGCTGCAGTGGCGGGTGCCGGGTGGGCACTGTCCGTCTCCCCTCCCGGCTCGTCTGCCGGCTCCTCTTGTGCAGAGGGGAAGCAGGACAGACCCCCCGGCACAGTTTGGGTACCTCCGTGCTTTATTTGCAAGTTATCAGTAGGGAAACAGGAGTTTTGTGTTTGTTTTTTTTGGAAGGGTATGTGGTCAGGGCAGAATTCCACGTTTGCTTGGCCGCGAGGCAGTTCCCCTGCCCCGGCGTTTGCCGTCGCGCTTCTCTGTTTGGAGACAACGGGGCAAAATCTGCCCCCGCCGCGCTCTTCCCGGCACGGTGGGGGATGCAGCAGCTCCCCAGCCGCCCCCCGCTGCCTCCCCCTCCCGCTCACTACCCGCGCTGCAGAACCCAGCACAGCCGCAGCGTCTCGCCCCGTCCCGGTCAGCTTTTGGCACGCGAGGAGACCGTGGGAACTGGTCCCGGGGGAGCAGAGCGGTGACCGGGGCTGCCTCCCCCTCTCTCAGCAGCCCGGGAAATGGTTTATACGGCCTCCCTGAAACTCTGAGCACAGGCCTGGGAAAGATTAACCAAAGCTAAAGCTGTAGTATATCTAAATACCAGAACTGGTACTTGGAGTGAAGTTACCCTGTGGGCTCTGCTTTACCGCACGGGTTGGATCGCCAGGCAAGGAAATGCAAAAAGCGCCGGGGATTTGGATGGCGTTGGGCTGCTCCCCCCTTGCAGGATCTCTCTCTCTGCTTTTGAATGTGCTTTTGTTTGTTTTGAAGGATGAGGATTACAAGTTCTGCAAGGTGACTTCCCTGTAATGCCCTTTTCCAAAAAAATACCTCTCTCAACATGCCAAGAAATCCTTTTGCTCTTTTATGGAACTTTGTCTAAGGTTTACTGAAGTCTGTCCATGAATTTCACATTGCTCATAGATTTCCCGTATCAGGTTTTTGAAAGACACAGTGCAATGCTGCAGAGATGCTCCCCCCCCTTTACCGCAACCTGTGACCTTTGCAAACCCCCCGTGAAAGAAGGTTCTCCATCTCAAGTGAAAGCAATTCTTTGAGTTCATGATTCCTGATGAAAACGGGACTTTGAGTGCCGGTTACCGTGGCAGAGCCGGAGCTGCGAAGGGCTCCACAGTACCTGATGGCCAACATCAGGAGGCGCAGGCAGAATTGCTCCCCTGGAAGCATCCCCGGGCAGCGCCGCGGGGGGTTCCCGAGCCGCCCGGTGGGGCTGCGGTGGCCGCCCAGGGATGCACCTTGCTCTGGGGAGAGCGCTTGGAGAAGGGAACCATCACCTCCCCGCCGAACCGAGCCGGCTCCGCTAGCCGAGGCGCTGCACGGCGCTGTCTGACAGCCTCCCTCTTCGGGTCCTCTAGGTGCTCCCGCTTGTGCATGTGCTTCAGCCGTTCGAAAAGAAAAGGCTGTAGCCCTGATGGGAGAGGAGCCAGATTAAAGGAGGAAAACACGTTGTGGGAAAGGTGAACAGTTTCACGGCACTATGTGCACTGTGTAGGACGAGTAAATACCGCTTACCACCAGTGGGGACGCCCCCTCCTGCTTTCAGCGAGTTGCTTTTAAATAGAGTTTAAATCTTGAGGTTTTCTTTGAAAGAGGAAGAGCACAGTGTGCTCAGCCCGGTCCGTAGCTAGCTCTAGATGTCTCAGGTTCCGCGTACTTTGCTGTTCAGCACTTCTGTCTGACAATGCTTAAGAAGCACTTTCAAACCCATCCCCAGTCCTTCCTTTTAGGAGCTTTTGGTCTGGTTTCCTTACGCCGCACAGAGAAATACTGACTGGTGCAACGACTTGCTTTGGGGGTCTGTTCATGGTTTCGCTTGCTTTCCCTGAGAAGTTGCTTGAGTCTATAGACGTTGTCACTCGCGTGGGCGTTGATCTCCGTGAGATCTTTCAGCAGAAGATGCAGTGGCTACTCTCAGCTGGGTTGTTCATTTTTGGTTCTTTGTTGTGGTTTTTTTTTTTAACTTGAAACTGTGACTGTCCTTTTTGACCTGGATTGATTTGTAGAATTATTTGAATGGAATGAAGAGTCAGGCAGGACAGTGCGAAACTGCAGGGAGAGAGATGCAGTGCGTTGGACTTGTCTTTCCCCGCGCCAGCCTGCTGGAAGGGCAGCGGGGCCCCGAGCCCAGGTCTGGCACGAGGTTTGCCGTGCTCCGCGGCATGTCCAACAGCACTCCTCACGCCGGGTTGTGAAAACCTACTGCAACACCCTTAATAGCAACCGGGCTTTTGAAGCTCCCGACCTGGCCAGGCTGTAGCGTGGTCCTGCCTGCAGTGCCGCCGCGGCGTGCGTGTGCCCGGCGCCCTGTCCCACACTGTCCCGCGGCGGTGCCGGGGACTGACCGGCCGCGGCGTTGAACCGCGGAGGTATTTCCACTTCCAGCAGTGGGTGAAGGTGTTCCTGTATATATACTGCAAAATGTTTTGTGCTTATAAGTGGCACACACACACGCATATATATACATATATAAAAGGGATTTTTATATTTGCATATATATAAAAGAAAGGATCCTTAACTGACACTAAAATTACTGGGCAGCACATTTTCGTTTCTGATCCCCACTGTTTCCACACACGTAACTTCTACTGCTCTCGGAAGTGACTGTCCAGGGAGCAGAAGGGGCTTGGAAGCGCGGTGGGGGAGGACTGGGGGAGCCCCCGGCTGCCTGGGGAGGTCTCTCCTCTCCTGGGGGGTTGCTCCCCTTCTCAGGGGGGTTCGGTCCCTTGCTCCGGCTGCACCCTGCTGCTGCCTGGCTTGGACCAGTTCACCACCCAGACCCCAGGTCTGGGTCCACCGGGTCCTCGCAGCAGAGTGGGGAGGGGACCCGTCCCCCCCGCCGGTGTCCCCTGCGCCAGTAGCCCCTGGGACGGACGTGCGGCTGTGGAGAGCTGGCAGCGAGCTGCTGCTCCGTCTGGGCGCTCATTCAGGAAAGCACTTGGCACGTACTTTGCATCCTCCCGAAATCCCGCAGAGTCAAGCACAGGATTACACTTAAGCACAATATGAAAGTGCTTTTTTTTTTTTTTTTTTTTTTTTCTCACTATGAGGTTTTTTTTTTTTTTTTTTTCTGAGCAGAAAGGGGGGATCCTAAGCACAAACTCAGTTTCTTTCCAGAGTTTTGAGGGTCTCCAGAAATGGCGGGTGAAGGGGCCAGGATACGTCACTGGCATGAATGGGCTCGTTAACCTGGGCTGAGGTTTCTCGGCTGTCTTTGGTTTGGCTGCAGGAGGTGCTTCGTGCTGGTAACTGCTTGTAAAACCAGCGGTTGGTGGGAGCTCGGCACCTCTGCAGGTCGCACCTCACACTCACGTCGCTTCGCTGATGTTCCGACTTCTGTTCACCGGAGCTGGCAAAGAGTCGGTCACTCCGTGGTCCTAGAGCATGCTTTCATTATGTTTTAATGAATGTAGCACTGCGTATATCCTGCAAAGGGAAATGCTGAATTTATATCATTAGAATGTGAAGAGAGTTTATAGAGTGAAAAGAAATCTTGAAGAAATGTATCTGACAAAGTTTATTTTTTATGTAGAGAGGCGGTGCTTTGTAGTTCCTGGTGGCCTATGTCTGTTGTAAATAATGTACATTTAATTTATTGCTATAGTAGCAGATTGTATTTGTTATGTATAAAACTAAAGGTTCACAAATGTATATTTTGTTGCTTAACTGTGTACTTGCAAAATTCACAATAAATAACATATTTTGTGTCCATATGTGTACTACGTTGTATATGTCCATAAAGCGACTGAGCTCTTTGGGAGCAGACAGTGCTCTTTACATCCCTGTAAAAACCGCGCGACGGCATAGACCGGGGCTGAGCCCTTACTGGTGTGAATCCGGGAGAGCTCACGTATATCACAAACTGAAGTAGAGGAGTGTCCGAGTGCGAGAAGTTGTAAATCGGGACCTCTCTGCTGATGTTCCTAACACCAGTAGGGCTGGATCAACAGAGGAGGACCCGGCTTCTCCTTTACAAATGCAGAGCAGTTCCAATCAAGTGACCTGACCTGTCTGAGCTGCAGTTAGTGCCACACAAAGCGCGATATAAACTGGTCCCGGTCAGCAGCCAGCCCACACACGGTAAAGAAAACAAACAGGCAGCAATGCAGTTAGTCTAAACCAGCTTAGTTTACCTTGGGTCGTCAGTCTCCGGCGTCTCAGCTGCCTTTTGGACGTCCTCCATGAGCTAACTATGAAATTGGATTTTCTCTCTCCAGCTCCTCAGGCTCCTTTCAAATCCCCCTAATTTCCCAGATCTCTTCCTCCCAGGATGCTAAGAAAAAAGCTGTTATTGTTTGGAGGCGGTGTGTCTGGTACATTTTCCCCACGGCTCGGGCTGAACGAAGCACAAAGCTATTAGCCAGCGTTAGTTTTTTAACATTTTGTGACGAGGGGAATGAACCCATTCATTTGTACCTGTGCAAACTAAATACTTGTCTTTGCCAGGAAAAAATTGCACGAGGAGCATTTTGTTCCCCCTCCATAGCGCAGCAGCTTGGCAGGGGTGCGCGATGCCGGCAGAGCCTGTGGCAGCCCCAGCGCGGTGCCGTGGGGATGCTCCGGCAGGACGGGGGTGGCCCCGGGTGGGGGTGCCCGGGTGGGCTGAGACGGGGTCCCCGCGGTGCCAGCTGCAGCCAAGCACAGACCGCCCGGGACAGGGGCTTGGGCTGCGCACAGCGCCCACCCCGGTCCCCCTTCAACTGCAGAGTGAGGACTTTGCTGTGGGTCACACGCACCCGACGAGAGCGAAGCGTGAGCTACGGGGACGCACTCATCAGAGCCACCGGCCTCCGGCAGATGAACAACAAAACCTAAAAAGTTCTGTTTCTCTTAACAGATCTTTATTGTTGTAAAAATCATTCTTAGTTACCAAACCCAAATTCTCCCCTTGTCCAGATGGGCCAACGCTGAATCTGTGCGTCACCACATCCCCCCTCCGGCTAAACCACAGCGAGTCCATCCCACGACGAAGCCGCCTCTTTCCTCCAGGCATGGTCAGGTTCTGGTTTCCTGAGAACTGCAGAACTGAAACAGCGGCGAGCGCTTTCCAGAGGGCAGCGAGAGCCACATCAGCCCCGCTGCGCGCACGCACAGCTACCGACCCATCGCTGCTGGCAGTTGGCAGGGAAATACGTTGGGGGGGTTTTGGCAGTCTGCTGGAGATATTTATTCTCTCTTTAATTTTTCACTCATACTTTTTTTGGTGTTGTTGCAGTGAATCAGAATAAACATTCATCTTTTTATGGCTTTTTTTTTTTTTCCTTCACTGGCCAGCACTTTTCTCCCTGACCCTATGACACCGCCACCTGAGCCATGCCGTACCCTTTCCCGTGCCGAGGCCTTCTTCCTCTGCATGGACTTCTATTTCAAAGAAAACAAATTACCCTGCAGGAACTTCACTATATCTGAGAATTACATCCCTTTGTGAAAATCAGACAACTGGTGCTCATTTTTTATAAGAAAATGTTCTAAAATCCAAGCATGTTGTTGAAAAAACAATGGAACTGTACACTGCTCGGGCAATTGGTTTCTTTCAAACCATCCAACTGGACTGGTTGCTTCCTGCCAGAAGTTAAATGTATGGCAGCTGAGCGATTGCTGTGACTTTCCAGGTCATCAGGGAAGTGCCAGACTTGCCTGCATAAAGAGGGAGAACAAAAGACTTTGGGTGAGCCCTGGGGGTGGTCTAGACCAGCCACACCAACCCCAGAGGAAGCAGCTCTTCCCCTTCAGAGCAGAGAGCCCAGCAGCTACAGGAGAGCTCTGTGCACCCTCTGTCCTCTGAAATCAGG